TCAGTCCAGCAACCTTGGTTTCAGCATGTCATGGAGTGACATTCACAAAAGTAATTATCATGATCGACCACGTTTACCTCTCTGCAGCAAGAGCATGCAAGAGCATGAGCAGCACTAGCAATCCATAGCAATCCTCTTGCAATAGCATGTTACATGTCCGTTCCGTTTCCATTATGTAATTCGTGTCCGCCCGGCACCGCTGGCACATACATCTAGCATCATGTATGTAAGTAGCAATAGGCGGAAAAGCTCACATCACACAGCCTCGTAACGCTGCGCGGCAACTTGCCCCAGCACCCGCTCAAATTGTCTCTTTTCGCTTTCAGCAGCCTCAAGAGCAACTTTCAAAGAAGCGGGCCACATACACACACACAATGAATACAGCTCAAAAATCCAAGGAGCACGTTGAATAAAATGTGAAGAAGTGGCTAGAAAATATGGATTGTGGATGGATTTCAGAACAATTCAGGCCTCCAAGGCTGCTTGTGGAGCACAAAGCCCAAAGGCGATGTCAAAATGGAGCAAGTTCGCGCCTCCGAACAATAATATTGCGATTGGATGGTGGGTTTGGCAATCTCGCTCATCCTGCGTGAACATTCTGGTTGATGACTCACTCAACTCACTCCCTCCTTTCCTCCTTTTCGTGCCCTTGCCTTCACTTCCATGATCTGCAAGGCCTGGCCAATGATAAACCGATCCCTGAACCAGAATCAATGCTGTGGACGTTCTGAGAGGCCAAACAATATATTGGACACTGAAATCAAGTAGAAACTGTACTATATACCAAGGTCACATTCTGCAAATGCCATAGATTGACATAAGGTACTGATGCTGGCCAAGTAGCCTGGCGCATCCGTAATGATCCGAACCTTGGCCGAAGGCGGCGGGATCTTTACCAGTCCTGGCTGCACATGATAGCGTTGCTACATAGTTATAAGTTGTATACATACCAAGTTCTGGCTATATAATGCAAAATGAACATGCACGTACATGCCCCACTACTGTAAGCGGGTAGCTACGCATGGATTGCTGCCATATGCTTGGTTAATCTTGGTTACTGATGGCCAGTGGTGGCCAGTCACAAACTGCGTTCAAGGCTCGTTGTGAACGCCAACAGCCTGCACAATTGCTCGGTTGGAATCCAAAACATCTGCGGTGAGCTGGGTCTCTCTAGGGCATGTTCAGATATCATAAGAGGGACGCGTTCACCAAACAAACAACGAGCGAGAGAGAGAGAGGGGGAAAGGCACGCAAAGTTTTTCCACGACTGAACTGCGATGCCTGGCGTTCTTCCTGTAATGCCGCTGCGGTGGCCACGTGAATCACTGCATCTAAGGCCCTTGAGGTTCCTGCAGCGAGATGCTCGGCATTCAGCTCCTGAGGGAAATGGACCACTGTGGAGTGTCAAATGAAAGGTAGGCGGCGCGCGATTCCATCAGGAAACACATCAGAGAGATAAGAATAATGTTCATGTTTGATCATGTTTCAGCCCTGTACAAGTGCCGCCAAGGAACTGCTGTGGCCATGGTGGCTGCATTCAGTAAAACGTCCTTGGGAGTGGCTGGAGGCTGCGAAGCACTGCCAGGTGCGCTTAAGGATTTGATGTGGCATCGCCCTACCCCCCCCAAAAAAATACTTTACTTCGAGTGATCCCCACCTGGCATTCTATCTGGCATATCTTCTGGCATTTTGTCTGGCATATTTTCTGGCATTCTATCTGGCAATGTATCTAGCAATCTATCTGACACACTATTTGGCCTATCTTCTTGCAGCATTCTATCTGGCAATCTACCTGGCATTCTATCTGGCAAACTATCTGGTTGAAGTCCAGCGGTGCACACTGCGATCGGATCCTTGCGGTTGAGGTCCAGGGATGCACACTGCGACCGGATCCTTGCGGTTGAGGTCCAGGGTGCACACTGCGCTCGGATCCTTGCGGTTGAGGTCCAGGGGTGCACACTGCGATCCGGAGCTGGCCAGACAAGATCGGCGAAGCAGATCGGCGAAGCAGATCGGCGAAGCAGATTGGCGAAGCAGATCGGCGATGAAGATTGGCGAGGAAGGAAGCAAGGAGGCAGGAAGGCAGGCAGGAAGGAAGGAAGGAGGAAGAACAACTGTGATAAAATCTAACAACCCTCACCTGATCACCTGGCAGGTGGGGAAAAACATACGACGGAGTCAGAACATATCTGTATAAGTATCTGTATATTATTTATCAATCTCCGTACATCATTCTGTGGAAGCTCTTGAACATGAGCATTGGCATTTCTGTACAGCTTGGTGCCTAGTATCATGCGTTGCAGTACATGGAGTGCTCAATGCCACATCGCAAGCACCGTCTGTTCGCCTTGCCCCATGACAGTGGCAGCTGTCCCACATCCTGGGCTTTGTGATCTTTGTGCATCCAGATCATCCAGTCGCTTGCATAAATCATATATTGCTGCGCACTGTGAATGTTAGCAAGGACAATCATTTGGTTGTCACCACTGAACTTTTCACAAGTTCCTGGAGCATCCTCGTACCCAGCAAGGCTGTACAAAACGACCAGCAACGGCCAACCTGCAATCTGCATTAACCTCCACAAACGTATGCACATCTATGAGCGAGGAATCTCCCACAACATGCAGCAGCAAACATGTGTTATTTAATACCGTCGAGTAATCGCCCTGGCTGATAAAAAAGGAATGTTTCGTTGGAGCTCATCAGAATAAAGCTCACATTGTGTGGAGCCGCCGAGCGTCTGGTCGCAAAATATGCCATGGCACGTCTCATGCGTGCCTCAAGTAGAGCTCTTGCAGGACGCTTGGAGATGCCACAAAGTCATACAAAGTCTAAGCTCATTTGACCCTGTCGAGTGACCTGTGCCACCGAACTGGCTAACCTCCTCCAACCTTTAAACCCGGAGATGTGTTTGCCATTGACAGCGAAAGCCTTTTGCCTCAGGAGGTTCACGCCGGGTGTGCACTCAGCTCAAAGCTTGGGTCCGCACCTACTTGGCTGGGGCCACACACACAAACACACACACACACATATATATATATACACACATATATATATATAACATAAACATATATATATATATAACACCAAGGGGTGCGTGCGCATATGAGTGATTGGACGTTTCAAACCTCAAAGGCTGTCCTTGGTCAATCCGTCGGATTCCGTAGCGCGTGGCGAACGCGTGGCGATGCGTTTGAGAAGCCATGTGGGATGCAAGCATCAAAGCAGCTCGTGTTGTCCTTGGGCATCAAAGCAGCTGGACTAACATGCTCCCAAACCACCGCACTCAACGAACGCAATTGCCACAGAACAATTGCAAGCAATTGCAATTGCAAACTGTTATATAAACAGTTAAACATATGTATGTACAATATGTTGAAGAAACAAAGAGAGCAAAGAATAAAGAATGATAACGGATGGCAAGGCTCCTTTCAATGGGCCTTATCTTCCTTATCATCTTGTCTCAATAAAAGCTCTGTTCTTCGATTCAGGGGATGGAGGACATTGCCATTCACACTGAAAGGAAGACACGCTCCGTGGACAACTTTGACCGGAAGGCTCTGCGGCTCCAGTGCTCCCTCCTGCTCCCTCCCGTTGTTCAAGAATCCATGCAAGCAAGCACAAGCTGAAGCAGGCATGGCACCAAGCGTGCCCAGCCCATCATCATTTAAGAACTGTTTAGAACTTCCGTTTCTTCTGACTGAGCATGCTCGCTCAAGGATGATGACCATGCTTACAAGTCACAACCCTGATCGCTTGCCTGGAATTGAGCCTTGGATGCCGACTTGGATTCGTGTGTGTGTTCCACCCGCCCTGTCAACGATCCATGAGCTTCATCAATCTCATACATCGTACATCCCCTGACCCAAAACAGCCACAGTACGCATCACGAGAAGTGAAGGACAAAAACCTGGCCATCCAAAGAAAGCGACATCCGAGTGCCCACTGCAAAGAGACAGCAACTCAGCCTGTAAAGTGACAGCAACACATCAGGGCGACCATGTCAATGTTTCACTTAAATCACACTATATATATATATATTGCTGTACACTGTCATGGATCCTTTCGAGCAGCCCCACCCAGAGGACTTTTAACACCACAAAGTCAGCAGATTGATTTGTCAAACTTGCTCTCACTTTGCTCTGGGCAGCGCCAAATTTGCCTCCTCAGCCTAACTACGAGCATCCAACAAACGGAAAACACACACTCACTTTCTGTGCCCTTCATCCCCCATGTGATGCGGATGCTCCAACCGGAGATGCATTCATGCCGAAACTTGGCGCCTCTATCTGCCAGGCTCTGTAGCCCACCCGATTTGGCTTTCAGCCAGGTGGGGCAAACTTGCACATGACTTTCCGAGTTCCCGACATAAGTGGAATGTGGGTGTATGCTTTTGCCCGAACATCGTGTCAATTGATTTGAATAAGCAAATCGAGAAGTCTCATATCTATTTTTATGAGCTTTTGATTCTTTTGTACTTTTAAAAATTTTAAGGTTGCGGTTTTGTCCGGCTTAGCTCCTCAAAGCTGCAAGGTCAACCCGGCGGAAATCCGCACTGTCACAAACCTCTGGCATTCAAAGTTGGGAGAGAGAGAGAGAGAGACTGTGTTAAAAAAATGTAAAAAATACTTCACCACCCCACGGACCATGTCCCATGAAAGCGGCAACAGCCAAAGATCACAGTATTGATTCCGATCTTCCCTCCCTCTCTATTTTACAATTCAATGCGAACCCATGCAAATGGTATATACAAGCAGCTTGGATTGAATGGGTTCAAACTTCAGGGTAAGTGGATCACCAGGTGAGCACGTGGAATCAGAGCGTCTCAGGTCAAGCAATAAGACGATAAAGGAAAGAAACACGACTTGCAAATTCAAGTGGAACCACACGCTGACCAAGTGTCCATTGCCGGGGCGCGAAACCGCAGACTTCAACAAACAAGACTTCACTGGAACAACACAAAAGCAAGCAAAAGGAAGTGGCCCATGCAGGAGGAGGAGGAGGGAAAAGCAAAATTATCTAGGTTGTACAATCCCCCTTTGTGGACCTCCCTATTTCCTGACTAGAGAGGGGGTCGTCCACCCTCTTGATTGAAAGTTGAAACAGCTCCCTTTTTTGACCCATGCGTTGATCACATGGGCGGCCACGCTTTCTGAAACATCTAGCATTGTCGGAAAATATTAGAAAGAACAACTTGATCATTTGCGGGGCTTGCACGAGTGCTCACCTGCTTCAGCGGAGTCGTCCAAGTGCAAAGCCGATCACTTGTGCAGCTGTGCCTTCAGGCAAACAGCGGCTCCACTTAGCTTTAGCACTAATGCGTCGAGTTGCACAAAAAATCTCGAGTTCAATCCGAACCGAGTGCAACTATTGACCGCTATGATGTTTCTGCTTTCAGATTCCTTCGGGCCAATATGGTTCTCCACAGGCTGACTACCACCAGTGCAAATGCCAATTGCTGAATAAAGAGTAGGTAGAGAGCACTGCTGCAATTTGCATGCCCAACGCAGCTATATCCTTGCAATGCAACTTTGGCTCTTTTGCTCAAGGCCAAGCGCCCTGTAGCTGGAGTCGGTGCACCTGGCTGTGCGATTAGATACAATGTATGTATGACATACGCTAAAGAATGTTCATGAGCTGTGGCCGGGATGATCTTGAGGTCATGCAACCATTCTGAAATGACCGCCATGATCCACATTGAACTCTGCTTCCATCATCCATCCACTCCCTTGTTGCTTCATATCTCACATTGTAACGGCAATTCTTAGCATGATTGTTGCTGATAGTCGGCTCCAACAAAAGCATAGAAAAGCAGCACCCTACAGCAACTACTTGAACCACTCCCACAACAGGGAAAAAAGGCATATGAAGTAATGATTGATAGGTGACACAGAACCAAGTGATTCACACTTTGCCCCAAATGAAAGTAGATTGTCCCATACTTCTATATATATACTCGATCCCGCCTGGCCTCGTTTTAGACGAACTGCACCTGCACATGCAAACAGGACAAAGGGATACGAAGGGTGCCAAAGGCTAGGGCTGGACAAGCTCCCAAATTGTTCTAACATGATCCAATGAGCATCATGAGCTTTGCCTCTACCTGAGCATCGCCATTCATGGCACCACATTTGCCACCTGGAATGATGCTATCTGCAAATGCCGTTTGTCTTGTGAGAAGGCATCGCGGTTTCCCCGCATTGTCTTGCCACCCACAGGACAGCTGCATCCGAGACACTGAACATAGGGCTACCATTCACAGTGTAGACCTGCAAGGCACACTCTAGATTTCACAGGTTCTCCACCAATGTCAGTTGCAAAGTCACCTAGGAACAAGAAGCTACTAGGGGCTCCTGGCCGTACTACTAGGAGCAAGGATTCACAAATCTCACAGCGGCCTTAATGTTGTGCACCACCTCGGCTGATTTTTTCAGGGCGCCAAACCAGCTTGACGGTTACAGTGTTTCTTCTCGATCAGTATGCTGCACAGTATAGGACTTCAAATCCCAGGAGCGTATTGACACTGGGTGTGTGGATTGTTGAAAGCTTTGCAGCCAACCCACCTCGGGTTTTGGCACAATCGTCCGTGATTCAAGGCTCAAGTGAAAATTTAACACATCTCATAAAAACCGAGCAATCAATACTCCGGTTCTTTGAAGCGTAGCATGAATCTACGGCCGGCAATCGCGCGGAATCTGCGCGTCCAGCATCTCTTCAAGAAGTGGAATCGAAAAAGGCAGCTGCTTGCTGGAAAGACTTGATTGGAAAAGTATGAATCAACCTCCTGCTTTCTACGGCATAAGCACTGTATATGCACAACATGTCTATTTCTGTGCACCCAAGGTGCCCCGCGTCACCTGAAAATCCTGAGCAACACGTCACCATTGATGCCCCGACGGGCAGCATCACTCAGGTTAACCAAATCAAAAGGATTCAAAAGGCATCTGAAACCAAAACTCCGCCAAGCAGCCGTTCCAAATGTCTGAAATGAAATTGTATGGAAAGCTCTGTCCTCCACATCGTCTGATGCACAATGCGATATCAGACTGACTGTTTACACTTGTCGGGCCCCCGTCCCTTTGAAACCTTGTGCTTCTTGGATGCATTAGTCGTTTGACCACACAGAAGCACATTGAATGGATTTTGGCACCTCTGCCTTTGCTCGGAGAGACGCTGCCCAAGAAGTTATCATAGTAGGCCTCAAGTCGTTGGCATGCCTAACGCTATAACGTCAACGTTGGCAAGGTTCTAACTAATATATTATATATTTTGTGTTTGTCCTTCAAGGCTATGTTTGGCAGTCAGTGGCCTTGGACCAAGTAAACTTGTATTTCTACACATTCCCCCTTATGATGATGGGACTTCTTACGCAAGGCTGACGGCGCAACGGCGACACATCTTGCGTGCAAGGTTGCCCGAGGTAGCTTCACTGTGGCCAGCTGCCCCGGGCCCCAGCATGCTTGCTGTGTCATGTGGCTGTGGGCCCGCAAAAAAAAAATACGTACTTTGATTATCTTTGATGAAATTTGCGTTGACTGACCCAAAGAAGTGAGGAGTTCTGCACGCCGCTAATTATGCCGCAATTGGCAATGCCTTCTTCACGATGTTCACGATGTTTTTGCTGAGGCCGCAGTGACTGGATCTGCGGCCAAGAAACTGATGGATGGCAGTTTGTGGGTCCCAAATCGCAAATCTCAGTCCTGGTGCAGGAAAAATGGTCGCAACATGTGGAACCCCACTACAATCGTGACAAATGAATGCATTGCGTCTGGGGGCACAGTATGCAGCGCCATGCAGGGCCGTTGTGCATATCTTGTGGAAAAATACCAGTTTCTACATGAGGGTGATGCAATGACCTCGTTGAGCTCAAAACAAGTCATAGCTGCATTGCTTCTTCTCATTTCTTTTCTAACAATGCTTGCTCCATCTCCTGAGTGTTCCCCCGGATTCAAGGCTGGCGCTCCTGTCCTTAGAGACAGCGAACACGGCGAAAAAAAGGTAGGAATGCCTGTTCCCAAAGGGCCCAATACTGTCCAACATCTGTCAACACTATATAGACACACCCAATAATTACTGTACTCCCAATGACTTTTCAATGTGTGATGACATGATGTCTATGACTGAACTGACATGATCCACCAATGCCCACCCAATCTGGAGGTTTAAGCCTGGCCCTTCGCGTTGCCTGTCAAGCCGCGAGAGTCATGATAAGGTGCTTTGGGCCTCCCAAATTGTCTGGATTCCCGATCCTGGAATAGCAGTGGCAGCTTGGTGGAGGTAGAGCAGAATCAGAACATGCAACATGAAATGATTGGCAACCCAGCATACTCAAAGTTGAGACATGAATCACCGGGCAATTTGCTCATTCGCATGCGTCCTCTCCATGTATATATGAGTGCCATGAAACAAGCTACAACACACAGAGCACACAAGCCCATCTCAACTCTGTGCATGTGCGCACGCATTTCCGGGCCCAAACAAACACTTTCTGCGATCCCTGCTCGTGCCCTTAGTCATCAGTAAGTTATGCATGCTATGCTATTGTCCAGAATTCATGCAGCATCAGCTACAAATTATGAATTTCCGTTGGGCCGCTTGAATGCAACCGAGCTGCACCATCTCCTGGCCAATGACCGATTGACGGATCGAGGCGAATCAACTATCAACGCATTGCCTACAAGATGGCCGAATGGTTGGCCAGGATCACACAGGCACGGAGACAAAAAGCCTCCCCATGGGCAAAGGAAATACACACTCCCCCTTGACACAGCAGCTCTTCACAAATAGCCGAATGGCACTTCAAATTGCCGCCATCTTCAAGTTCAGTGCGGCTTTACAGACATGTGGGCAACCTAGTCTGCACGCGCTTGATATAAATATATATGTATACAATAGATCAATAGTATATTAATTCTTATTTTGGGGCACAAACGGACCGCAAACAAGTCGAAGCCACATGGCCACCAGTTGCAAAGTTTGTATAAAGTGAGCCGACAGGACAAGCTTCCTGGGCAATCGCCGCATTGGACCGAGGGAACGTGTTCACCAATCTTTGAATCTTTACATTCAACTTCACAACCGCCGAAATTGATCATATTGCGTAGTCTCCCCTTCCACGTGCCCCAAAGAACAAAAAACTGGAAGACGAAGATCTATACAACGGCTCAAAGGCTAGCAAGTGCGCAAAGTCCAGTGTAACGGGTCGTATACCGCGACATGAGCCATAACAACGGGTGATGTTGCACATTATGTAATTCTGTTAATGGATGTCGACGGTAAGGAGTTACAAACATATTTACAATGGGTGAGCCAGGTTCATTCCCCAAAGGAGCGTTTATCAAAACATAACAGCTGCCTTCACGCCAGGATACTACAAGGTCCACCTCGCCGGAAGTTCGTCCAGGTGAATCCCAAGGCGATGGAGACATCCACAGCGGAGCAGCCCAAACAGATCCACAACTGGTGGCCAAAAAGTGAAGAACATTAAATATCTAGAACAACACAACAATCATCAAAATCAAGACGGATACAGTACGGCAAACGAAGATGAAACAAAGGCATTCCCTGACACATGACATGGACTGTGAAACCTTTGACACTTGTGGCGATTTCTGCCTCTTCATATCAAAGTCAAACTCAATGCGCTTCACGCGCCTGAAGTCCTAAGGCACAAGGCCAGCGGCAAGCATGTCACTAGGCGCATAATGCGTTTCAATTTCAGGGAATCTACAGTAGTTTTATGTCTTCATTTTGTAGACGCTACAGAACCTGATAATTTGCTAAGACTCCAACTTCCCTCCCTTGTCCCGAATGAGCAGTGCAGGCAAGGATGTGTCTAACATGGTCTAATGGGCAGCCGGCGTTGTAAATCTTTACATCCCAAAGTTGTAAAATCAAAAATCACGGCGCAGCGAAAGCAGAGTGTTTTCTTTCGTTAAGCCATCTGTACTTCTTGCATGTAAAAATTGCCCAGAAGGTAAATGGCTTGCAGGAAAGCCTCCATGCTGCAGGCAGAAGCAAGCCATGCGAAACAGCCATCTTTGATAGGCGCACTTGCCAAATCTACCTTGGCGCCGATATACATGTTTTTGCTTTGTAGCAACTGACAGTTTTGCTGGTTATTCATTCCAAACTATGGACCCAATCTGCTTGCAAACCTCGCATCTCGTGATCAACCTAAATTCAGGACACGCGAACGCTGGAACCGTTTCTTTTCCGGAGCTATGCCATATCATTTACCTCTCCCTTTTAATGTATGCCAATAAACAAGCATATATATATATATGATTATATATGCACAAACACCACTATATACCATATTCAGCAATATTATGATATACTTTTGAATGTGTGCAAGCTTTGGGATCAGAGGGGGCCTTTAGGTTTTAAAGCAGGGGGTGCCGGGGACCGTGCAAGTCTCACTTGCACTGGTCTGTGGTATCACCTTGGGACGCCGAGTTGACACACCTGCGCGAAAATCGTTGATGCACAATTCCATGCACAAACGTGTCTTTGTTCTTCTGCCATTTCTATGGGCCGTTTCTGAGGTTTCAGGTCGGCACTCTCTATGCTAATCGGGTGTTGCACTATATATATGTTAAACATCTTAAAACTGAATCTGGATCCTTGCACCTTTGCACTTGAAGTTGGTTGGACACCTTTGCGCTCGTTTTATATACCCTGGAACTTCTCTCAGCTAGACGTTGGGACAAGTGGCATTCAGACCGTGCGCACTTTATCCTGAGCGCGTCTCTCATGTCTCTCAATCTTTGAGAGCCTGGAGTGAGCCGAGCCAGAGGTTGGTTAAGGTTTGAAGACTTGGCATCGACAGGTTTCTATGCCAGAAGGTGCCCATAGCGAGCGAGAGGAGCCAGCGCTACGCAGGCAAAACAGACCGTAGCGCCGAAACTTTGAATTCGAGTTCAAGTGAACTCAGCCACGCACCTAGTGTGCACATTGCGCGTTACACGCACACGCAAAACAAGGCTAGGTGCCCTAGGTTTGCTTTAATGAGGTTTGGTCGTGTCCTTGTTCCTTTTCGTGTGGCTCCCCTTTCATTTCCCTTCACACATGTTTCTCTCCTGCCTTTCCCACCTTCATGTCCTGTCATCTCATTCCTTTCTTTCTTTTGCGTGCACATTCGTCTGGCCTAGCGTGCACGTGCACGTGCACGTGCACATCCACATTGAAAACAGGTTGAAAGGTGGTGCCCCAAGCTTCGTTACACGGAGGTCTGGATCCTTGCGCCTTTGGACTTGAACCTGGTTGGACGCCTTTGCACTCGTTTTACCCAGGAACTTTTTTCACCCAGGCGTTGGGGCAAGCGGCATTCAAGCCCGTACGTACTTTATCCCAAGTGTGTGCACGATTTGATACATTATATACTATATAACTTACTATACATGCTTGATCGTGACTGAACACAGCGTTGGGCTGGCTGCATGCATGGCTGTGCGATGAGCCTATACAGTCTCAACAAAGCCACAAACAGGGACGTGTAGTCTGGCTTGCCGCTGGAGCCAATGCACATGCTGCCAATGTCCCCTCGGACTGGCAGATTGCCTCGATTGATTAGCCGCTGCGCAGGGATCTGTACACTAGGAAAAGTTCCTTCGCCCGTCCCAATCATAGAAGCCTCCCAGCCCATAACGAACAAGTGGTTTGTGGTCGTGATACCGTGTCGTGAAGGCTTAGGAACAAGAAACCTGAGATCATCCATCCTACGAACTGACAAGCTAGGAGACCAGGTGAAGTTGTTGCCCAAGACGGTCTTTCAGGTCTTTAAATGTCTTTAGAGATGATCTCACGTGTCACACGTCTTACTCTCCAGATTTGTGCTTTGTCCATGCAAAAGAGCCGTTTGGGGCAACACTCGTTGACCGGGGGCTACAGCATTGCTCCACCAAAACACTTCTGAAATTCATGGGCAAACTTTCCAAGGTTGCATTTTATAAGGACTGTTGGCTGAGGATGCTGCCATGCAATCCTATGCAATTGTCAGTCTTGTGGAGTAAATCGATTCGAGGCAAGAAACTGCAACCAATGGCTTTCCCAGCTAGAAAAAACACCCCGCAGCCTTCATAAAACTTGGAGCTGAGCGGCAAGAATGCCATGTACCAGAAGACGCCTTGCAGCCATCGAGCAATAACTATAGATACTGGACTACCGTATATATAATATATATATATATATAATATTATACACAGTATGTACATGGTTGTTCTGCTCGTCTCATGCAGCTTCTGCCACCTCTTTCACAACACCTTCGAGCAACATACTCCTAAATCCCACCATGGGACCCAGCCTCCCAAAGCCAATTTGCATCTCCTTTTGTGGTGGAAGCGCAGTCCAAACTCGCAAACCTCAGCTCAGCCGGCTCATCCGCAGTGTTGGTCCAAATTACTATAACAGCCGACACTCGACTCAAGGGCCAATGGCCTGGGAATCCTTTTTGAGAGATTTGAAGTATGCCTCTCCACCCGTTCTGGATTTCGAGAGCTAAGTCAAAATCTTAGGTGACTGTGTTTGATGCATCATTCGCAAAGGTGCACTGTTAAAGTAGGAGCTCCGAATTGCTGGCAAATGTTGCTTCAAAATGCGTCAAGGATCGGAGTGCTGGTGAGATTCTGTGCAGTGGCTGTGGCTTCTAGCAGCACCACAAAGATTATATCAAGGTGCCTCTGTCAGGAATGGCTGACGCAACTAACGGCCAGGGCCCCATGTGGCTTCTGAATATATACGTATTGCTCTCTCCTCTCAATCTGTGCATTTCACATAATTGTGTGCATTTCATGTGCATTTCACATCTGTAGGCATGCAAAAGGGTAAAGGGGAACATGCCACCTAGTTCAACATATCATCGGCTGCCCTGCTAGCTCACACAACGCCTTCATTATGTTGAAACCTAAATGCCTGGGTCTAGATCTTCTGAGAATCATGACCCCGTGGTGACAAGCATCTCAACAATCCTCATATACAATTTCTGCCCACCTCATGATCAGGCTCCCAATGAGTAGCACTGCAACTCAAGAGCTATCATTGCATTGAGCCCAAGGTCTTTCACGATCAGGCCGACGAAAAGCTTAGTCAACCGCTCGGGAGTACTGAATCATCATTTGAAGGCCTGGAGCCTCCCTATATAATATAGTAGAGGTATAGTATGGAGTATAAATAAATAAACAAATCATTACTGTCAAATGAATCAAACGCCAACGATATGCCTAGGGTAGGTGAGGTCCAACCCAGTGTCAACATGCGGGTTTACAGTCACAAATTGCTTTGAACATGTCCTGGCCTATCTTTATTTAGCACTGTTATATACAATGATGCCGTAGCTGTAGCTATGTTACAAAATGATCTGATACGTGGTGCACACCAATCATTGCAAAGAGAGCTCGCAGCATGATGCGCCTCCTGCTCAGTGAAGCGCTCAAAAGCTTCATAAGTGCTCTCCAAGTCCTGAAGGGGAGCTTGTTCAGTCCAAACTCTGAACACATGGTAAGTGACAAGCACGGCTTTTGTCCTCACCCTGAGCAGCCTCCCCATCACCATAGTGAAACACCTTGGCACAATGACCGAATAGTGCCCTCAACTTGCAACTCGTGCACAGAAAACACCGTGATTTTCTGAGCTAAGGAACTTGTCCCGACGACTCCAGGGACATCTCATCCGACTCGCCCTTCAAAGCTCTCAGAACTCGCGAATGTGCCAGCACTTGCTGTAGGCGTTGTACCTGGTGAGCTGCTGGAAGTGATGTGAAAGAGTGAAAATTGATCGCGTGGGCATAGTTCCAACTCTGCCGAGCAGCAACATGATCAATAAGAGCATCAGTGCAGCGTCAGTCCTTTGGTTTATCAGTCGTTAATTAGTGTTTCATCCATGATCCTTGCGATCCTCAAGGGAACCCAAAGGGCAGGGCCTCTGCATCTACGTCGACGAAGCCACCCTGCCAAAGCCAATGTCCGACGTATGCGATTGTGGCAGTTGGGATCTCGGCTCTGGCACAGCATTTCCAGCTCTCTCTCTCTAGATATATACCCATATAGGAAGAAGCATGTTTTTCTCCACATCAGTGGAGTAGAAACAGTGCAAACCAACATCTCCCTCAGCCTCCAAACGGCAACCAAGTTCTACCAAGCGGGTATGGGCAGCCACGAAGCGTTGGACCCAAGCGTGATCCACAAGTTCACCTTTCAGCAATTCAAGCAACCCGACAAATGTAGTAACTCCGCTCATCTCCGTTGCCGAACCGCATTGAACAACAGAACATTGTGGAAAGCTAGCTAACATTGCCTCTGGATCAGCAGTACAATGGAAGTAACTGTCTTGGGCTAGACTCGACCACCTGCCACCTGTTCAGCCATCATCATTTGCGTGAGACCTTTTGCGGTGTTTCATGCATACATGACATGGTGCTGCCTTGGTACCGCAGAAGCCCGCGCAAATTCTGACATGTAAGGTCGACCATGGATCGAGGCTGAGGATAGTCTTTTTATGCGGAGTCTCTTTTCCAAATGGACAAAACTTTAGGTCATGGGTCTTCTCGTTTTCGTCGCCTTGTTGCGTGCCCTGTTTTGGACCTTGTTGAACACAGGTTGGTCATATGTCCTTAATCTTGGCTTTACTATTTATCGTTACAGTGAACGGAACACGTTCCGTATATATAAGTGTGATCTGCGAAGACCAACCCGGTGGGCATCCTTTTAAAGATACTTTCTCGTTTGATCTCTCGGCTATAGTTCGTCAAAGGTTGGGGTTTGAAACGGATTGAACCACTGTTAGCCCACTTAGGCTCAGTCCTTGCGCATTTGTCACGGGCGTTGTTGTTTCTTCCTTGCTGTGCCATCCCACCACCATGCAGTAAAACATGCGCAAGCGTCAGCCTTCGCAGCTGTCGAGGTTTCGCGCCAAGACATCAAGCCGATGCTTCAAGGCAGTTGCCTTACACAAGTCAAATGGATTCAAGTGGCGCTTCATGTTGGTTTTCTGCTGCAGCGGAAGCACGAACCCCAACCGTTCAAACCGTCTTTCACATTAAGGGGCCAAATGATCAAAACACAAGTGTGTCGAGCAATGTGGCTGGCCACTGCAACTGTCACTGGCCGTGTCCGGGAAAGCAAGGGGGATGATTACATTGGACAGTTTATGATTTGCTTGCTGCATCTTGCAGCCTATAAGAACACTTCATTACACCTCCTGGAAAGTTGTGCCTCAGCATGCTGGGCGGACCAAGGCAAAGAAGGTGAAGGCGCTGCTTGCAAAGCAGAGGCTAAAATAGTTGGCTCTCGCATCACTGAAGGAGGTGACTTTAAGAGCCGCCACATGGCACATGTCAGACTGCTACACCTTTCTCTCTCTCTCTCTTTCTCTCCACGCTCGTTCAAGAAACATCATTGAAAGAGTTGTGATTCTGAAGGTCTCGAGGATTTCACCAAATAGGTCGCGCTGTGATGATTTATAGCTTTGTCGAACCTTTGGCTCCGCTACTTGTAGGTGAACAACATCATCCGGCTTCTTCGTGCAAACCAGTGAATGAAACAACTTGTCTGGCCTGATGAATCCGCCGCAGCTAAGTGACTTCCCATGTCATGTGACGTCGCCATCCAAAAACTACGTCTTGCCAAACCGTCATCTCAACTTAGCATTGAGCTCAAAGTCCAAGCCAAACACCGACGGGCTTGACAAGAGCTACAATGGCCTTCAAGCTGGCACAACATCAAAACATCCCAAAACCTAGGATAAGATCTTCAAGGGCTCTCCTGCCATTCTGGACATCAGTGCATTTGAGGCGAATGAGGATGAATCTTTCTGGTCAGCAGGCTCTACAATTTTGTCTGCTGACACCAACACGGCGAGATATCAACAGAAAAGCACCCTCCCGAATTTCTTCGGGGTTGCTGCGGCAAAGTCAGGCGTCAGTCGACCCTCAAATGGTGACTGGGACTGCACGGCGCTTAATCAAGATATACTTTTAGAATTGGTATTAAGAGGCCTAGGCCTAGGCCAATAGGGCAACTACTGCAGCATTTGAGGATTTCAATGCCTAGAGCCTCCCATTGAAGCTCAAAAATGTCTAAATCTCGAATTGAAACATGCAAAGTCAACTTGAACACGGGGTTGACAGAGCGGATGCTCTGGAAGCTTGGAGGAAAACTGAGAGACAAAGACTGCCGGACATCAGGTGTGGCGGGCATCACATCAACCGCTTGGTCGAAGCCTTTTTGACCTTGGCGCTTGCAAGATCAGAAGATATTTGATTCCTGTCATTCCATGGTGCATCATCTCCCTCTATAAACTTGTCACTTCACTTGTCTACCATGTTGGCCTTGAACACCGGCCCAATTGCCCGTTTGTTGTCGACAAGACTTGGGAAACAAAATGAGATGGACCACAATGCACCGCAAATAACCCACAATGCATGACATCTCGCCAATGTTTGCACCCGAATTAGCGTCTCCTGATGTGTCAAGCGTGCATCTTAGCAAATCACCAGATTCCTTCTGGGGCTCCTGTTGGAGTCTTTGCCCAGAATCTCTGTGATATTTATGCCCTGCAGCGCACAAACTCACCGTGCATTCAACCATGATACATCATGTGGCGTTGTCAATATTTCACACAAACGACTTGAGCCAACTGTCATCCCGCCTCGAGCAAGTACGCATCCTCAATCACAGCAAGCCAAATCTTTGCTGTTCAACTTGTTTTTGGACACTCAATCTCCAGTGAATGTCGATGGTTTCGTGTCAAGTGCGATCTGACACAGCCTTGCAGGGAAATGCACACAGCGTGCAAGAACCACCACGAATAAGAAAACCAAAACTTTGGGAAGCCAAACTCATAAGTCAGAATAAGTCCAATGAAACAACGCTAACAATGAATAGAAGTAGAACAACCTTTTGAGGTCTTCTATTGGATTCCTTCAGGTTCCTTCAGCACCTTGGTCGTGTGTTTCAGGGTCCTCACCCTAGTTCATCCCCTTATCGGCAGGGGTGGGGTAGTGGACCACCTGCCTGCCTAGTATTGCATCTGGGGATTGAACCCAGGTCCAACGCATGATTGATACGTCACAGCCACTAGACCATAGCGGCCCCTTCCTTCAGCACCTTGCTCCCACATCCTTGAGCATACCTGTGTCACTGCCGTCAAGACTCTGGAGTAAGGTCTATCGCAACTTGTCTCGCCTGGCATTTAATTGAAGTCTGACTTGTTTGAAGCATAGCTTCCACTAGCGCTTGGCTTCTCTAATGCTTGGCTTGAATATCTTGGGCTTATAAATGCGAATGCAGGGGCAGAACGAAAACTATTTACATACAATAGAGAGTCATGCGCACGCCTGAAATTGTCAATGCACCCACGCGCAGTACATCCTCTGATAAACACAACCCCCGCTCGAGCCTGTTCAAACATTTCCTGCTGCATGCTGCGTAGACTGGCCAGCCTTTCGGGGCACTCAGCTGTCCACAGTGCAATTGAATATGTACATGCAGCTTCTGCCTCTCACTCGCTCTTTCTCCCTTGAATTCTGAATAATTACTCGCACAAAGTCAAAATTCAGCTTGCGTTGCGCCTTTGTTTGTTTGCCTGCTCCTGAAGGCATAGAGTGTCGAAGTGTAGTTGATAAATTCAACGATAGAATGGAATGGTACAAATCAAAGCAACAAAAATCCTCAAACATCTATAAATAACTCTATATATATATAGTGTTTTTGTGATCCATGAGCACCATTTCCCTTTCAAGTAAGTCCGCAAAAAAGAATTCTTGGAAATCTACAAAATACCTTTGGTCATCAGCTGGCAAATTTGGAGAAGCCTACCTCCTCCAGCCAGGGCTCATCCAAATCATCTAAACCTTGGAGCAGTGTTCTCACTGTACTGCTTGTCGATTACTTGTCTTCCAGGATTTATTAAGGACATTATGAATTGTCTCAGGAGTGAGTGGCTGCCCAACCTAGAGTGCCTCACGGAGTTAGTTTTGTTAGGTCAACCCTCCTCCACCTGCCACGGAAAAGGGGGGTGAGGGCTCCACATAGTAGCTTCTGGCTCCTAGTAGTAAGGCCAGGAGCCCCTAGTAGCGTCCTTGTTCCTAGTAGCGATGCCCTTTGCTCCTAGTAGCTTCTTGCTCCTAGTAGTAAGGCCAGGAGCCCCTAGTAGCGTCCTTGTTCCTAGTAGCGATGCCCTTTGCTCCTAGTAGCTTCTTGTTCCTAGTAGTAAGGCCAGGAGCGCCTATTGGTGATATCAGTGAACATGCTGTTTGTGGTCGCCATGTGTGGCGAGCTGGCAGCAATATGTGCGTCCGACTGCCGTCCCTAAGCTGCAGGCCAGCTTCTGCAAGAAGATCTGCCTCGGAATGTGCGTCCAAAAGGTATACATTAGTGATATGATGCAAAATGACTTAATATGCTGTCTTGCCCCTTTGAAGTCCTGTCAAGAGAGCTCCAGCGAATAGGATCTGATAGGCAAACAATCAAGGATTTGCAGGATGCCTGCTCTGCTGCCACACCTGCCGGCCTTGGATGCTTGAGCTCGAGTAAAGGGAGTTTGCTTTGAACATGCCTTGCCATCTCTATTTCACCGTGTTCCTCCACGAACTCACAACGTTAAACTTGGGCTATATAACAGAACTGCAAACCTTACCGCCCGAATGGCTGATAAGAGGCCACACAAATTAGCGCCCCGATTGGTTTGCAAGAATTAACAACTCAGGACCTCAGGATGCTCCAGGGCTTGACCTAGTAAGTATAGTGATTACTGTGACAAATTTCAACTGCCTAACCCGAGCTTGCGCTAAGCTCTTCGCGTGAGCTTCCGCTCCAATGAAATGAGATCGCGACCAATTGCCTGGTGGGTGCAAGCTCTCAGCCAAATCTTTTGCATAAATCCCAGGAACCTGGAAGTATTTCCTTTGCTTGACACTTTGCCCGGATATGGAGAGAAGGGGCACGCCAATGGCCTGTGGCCTGAAAAGAGCTCCTAATTAAATTGCAAGCCTCTGCATCCGCGGCTATCTTGCTTGCGAACTCTGCCTGCGGTCACGCTGGAGTGTCTTTGCCCCTGGGAATGCCAGAGTCTTCGCCACGGAGTGGGGGATGATAAATTGTTGGGCCCGCTGCTTTCCCAACTGTCTTGCGCCCCTTCCTGGCGTCGACTCAGTCCGGCGTCGACTCACTCTCACCAAGAGCTCATTTTCCGACACTCACATTCGACGGTGTGACAGTCCTCCCACCCTCATCTTTTTCGTCTTGTAGAGGAGCCAAACCTGTGTCGCCAAAAGTAGACAATGCCTTGAGCCTGTTTACTCGCTAGAGGACCGACTGCATCATAGGAATGCCATAACCTGCACTACCACGCAATCCCTTTTGGACTTTTGGCAAGTGAGAGGCTAGGAGTAGCCAATGGGAGGGCAAGAGGGGGTGAGAGAGATGTTTGTCATCACTCGCGTAGACCCTAAAGATCAACACTTATAAACATATAATTGCTATATTATCATATAAACGAATAGAGAAAACGCGCAAGGGACGGAGGCCCAAGCTTCCGAATCCCAACAAGTTTAAATTCACGGTACCGTATCCTGATTGAATCAAGCTGCCCGTTACCAACCTGGCTGCATCTGGCTGCTTGTCGCTCTTGGGGCCCCAGCGGGATGAGAACATCATGTACGCGTAAAGCTCTGCAAACTGAGAGGCTGAGAGGCGTCGTGCTGAGTCGCGCATATAGAAGTCAAACCCAAGCAGGCCATCGCTTCTGCCGCTATTAGAAACAAAGAAACATCTAGAAGCCTGTAATCACACCGGCTCTAGTCACCATCTCGAGGCACGACAGTCTCAACAATGGACGCACTCTGAGCCGTGTGCTGGCTTCACCTGGCTGCAGCCAAGACATGATCCGAGAGCGCCAGTACGGACGTGCGTTGATCATGCGAAGGAACCCCCTGTCCCTCTACACGTTCCCCGTCTCGTGAGTCGCGCGCAAAGGGATCAGGGTATATATCGGCTCTCACCGGAGAGTCTTGACTGTTTACCTCGCTGCATCTCGCTGCCGCAAACAGAATAAGATCTATTGTTACTAGTAGCTTCTTGCCCCTGGTAGCGTCCTTGCTCCTAGTAGTAAGGCCAGGAGCCCCTAGTAGCTAATTAAACTAATAAACATGGAGAAACAAATTCATCCGGTGGTGTCCAACTCTCGACTGCAAACGCAACAGTTTTGCAGGACCCACCTCCCTGAGCCACTCGTGCTGCAGCTGGGTGTGCCTTGGGTCAGGATGGCCTTCACCGTGCCTTCAATTGAAGCAAATTGCCATTGCTCCAAGGAATGAAAGACAAAATTC